CGGGGTTTCTACGTCGTTGGGCTTGAGCGAAACGAGGGCGTCGCCCCGCCGCAAATCGATCGTGCTCGCTCGATTGCTTTGCTGCTTGAAGTGTGTGTGGTCCACAACCGCCCTCATTCCAATCTACCCATTACGGTCATCACAAACGACGAAGCACCAATAGCAGGCTCATCATTTATATTTACAGCTTACCAAACCACTAATCTGGTGAATCGATATCGGATCTGACCGCATCGTATTGATTGATTGTTACTGCACACAATTGAGCCATTGCCTTTGGGAATCCTGCTACGTTACCCTCACTCTTACAGGTATTTTATTCATAGAAGGAAAGAAATTGTCCTTTGACGCAGATAAATTATCTTTTCCGAAAAAAAGTAAAAAAAAATATTTCAAAAATTGGACTCATTAAACAGCTCCATACTAGTGGGGGATGGACGTCAATACTTCTGAATAGAATATGCTCAAGAATCTCAAATTGAAATCAAGTGGTTTGGGATGATTCGAAACGAGCAGGAGGCATTTCAACTTACTCCGAAAAATCGATACCGCTCCACGTCAAATTGGTTAGTTACTTGATGGCTGTCAAAAAACATTTGAGGATTGGCTATGAATTTATCTTGCCAAATGACTAAATGGTTATCTGCACTAATGGAAAATAAAAGACTTAATATTGAATTTTAACTGTGGACCAGGTTTCCCTGTCCCAATCAATTTCACCGTGATTCGTAAGCTGTGGTTGGAAATCGCGAATTTGAACAACAGTTCGAAAATGGCATTAATTTAGAGACTAAATATAAAGTTATGACTCAGTTCCAAACATATGTTCTCTAAAATCATCGAAATGGCTTACGAAGAAGTCGATTCCTGGCTCATTCGTGACTCACGCAGTAAATGTATTGAACGTCGCAGAAGCAGAAAAAAAAACGTTCTAAAAGTATTGCAGCACATGTAACTTCGACATTAATAATAGTTTTGCGGTATCCACATTACTGTTATAAAACCTATCCCAGAAATACGTTATGAATAGTATTCACACTGGTTTGTTCGAACTAAATGTGAAATCGTGAAGAATCAGTATCACAATGAGGTCCTGCTATATAAGAAATGGTTTCAGAAACAAAAAAATATCTCCACAGAAGAATAGGAAAAAAAGAAAAAAAAAGGAAAAAGTAAAACAAAGGAGTTCGTTAGAGAGCTACGGAGGAAAGGAATGAAAATTGGCTAGGGTTCCAAATTTTACGTTTCTCCCGTTACTTCCTCGAAATTTTCTAATAAACTAGAAGGCCATCGTTCCGCGTCCATGAATATGGTCTTCATAATACTAATGAAACAACATGTATAATTCGTGGGACAAAGTTAGACGACACACTTTATTTTATGGCGGAACACAGTTCCAGTGAATATGATAAGCATTACGGTAGGAATTTTCTGTATTGATCTTTCGTTCTTGTCAGGTGTCACATCATTACGTGGGCATGTCAATTACAGATAGGGTAAAGCACAGTGTCGCTAAAAGCGACCTTGTCCAAAATGTATAGCTTATGCTGTCAAATCAGTGACAAAAGTATTGAGGGATGAACTGCGAACGAGATCGAAGATCTAAGCCACATAAATCGGATATTTTGAAGAAAGCCAGTGAAAACGAACTGACAAAGCCATTGTACGCGACACTGTGTTGACCTTGCTTGTTCCACACGATTCACCTCCTGCACCGATTCCAAACTCTCGCTTGAAACACGATCTCTCACGCCTATTCAAGTTTCGTGGAAAGGGGGAGGCCATGGGAAGCGAGTTCGTAGAGGGAGAATTGAAAAGTACTTCAAACACCAAAAAAATCCTTCTGATTTATGAAAATAAGCAAATTCCAGGCAATGTGAAGAAGCGTTTGAAGGATACAAAAGAAGGAAATCAGGATCAGCCTCAAAGCGAAAACCAGCGGTCACTCACGACACACACAACCCCTCACAAATTAGTAACCGATCTGCCTGCCAATTGAAGGTAGGGTCCTCAATGATCGAGGACCCTACTCCTCAGTTGGCAGACAGATCGGTTACTAATTTTTATGAATTCGATAAAATACGCTAATCAAAATATCAAAAACAGACCATGTAGTACATTAAAAGTGCAAATTTCTAATTTGGAATGTGTTCACATGCTAATTCATGGGATTTTAAGGCATACCTCCTATCTCCAACAGTAGTCAAAGTCCCGCAAAGTAATTACGGTGGTACTTCGTTCAGCAAAGCTGAAATACACTGTTACGAGGCAACTGCTTCTGCGCGGACAAAAAACACGCAGTACTTCTCCTTTGAAAACTTGAGAAGCAAAAAAGGACTTGATAAGAATTTTGCAGAAATAAATCAACTAGTAAATCGCCCGCTCCGAAACTGCGCTATCAAAAGTGCAACCACTTCATGGACCACCTTGCCGGCAATGTAAATCTTCGCCGTTTATAGCAAAAACCACGTCAGCACGTCTCGATAGGACATTCTCAGCGAACAATTGTTCAGAAAAATCTTCTCCTCATTTACTGCTATAAAAATGACTGCATTCTGTATCATTCTTTTTCGAATGTATTACGTTTGAACAGATAACCTTTTAGTGTTAATTTCTTCTTGGCACTTCATATAAACGATTCCTATTCAGAGTTGTAAAGTCATTAAGTGATGATATCAAATAATGCAGAAGGGGAACAGATAAAGAAAGAAAGAAATAGAGTAATGGAATAGCCCACCATAAAGTGTCAAAGGGGAAAGGGTACTACGCTTAGCGCTCCTTGTACTTTTTTGACCTGACGGTGTGTTTTTGTAGTCTTTAAGTGTTTGAACACCCAAAACGTGAAGCGGTCTTAACTTCGGAGCTTTCGCCGTTTTGGTAACCACAGACTGAGTGAGCCTGTTCCAAATGTGATCGCACGCTCAGTGCAGAACTGATGCCATCTTTTCCAGCCACTGTGCTACAAATATGCACCCTTCCGTTCCTCGCCGATGTTCCAAACTTTTTGACGTCCCATCCACTCCGATTGCCGTTATTCACCCTCAGTAAGCAGCTCAATTATCTAACTAAGGATCTCATCTTACAGTAAGCGACTCTCAGAGTTTCGAAGTCTAGGGAGTGCGAGATAAGAATAGAAGCGCATAAAAAGCATTTTGCTATGTAATGAAAGGTAGGAATTCATTTTCAATGTATCAAAGCGAACATCAGGGAAGCATCACATGATGAAATTGATATTAATTCTCCAAAATGGGCATTTGATTTTCAAACGAGATTCTTCACTAGAGAGAGAAAAAAAAATCGGCAATGCGTCACAATCGATCACGTGATTTTGCATTTTAAGTTTTTATGATCAGAAGCTGAGCATGACACGTAGTTGCACTATAGAAGCTGCCTTTACAATTTCTCAGCCAGTGGAGTTGAACACATTTAAGCTTCGATGGGGATCCTCGTTAGGAAGCCGACGAACCACGGTGCCCTTACTGATAGGCAGTCGTCGTCCAGCTATACAATGTAGCTATTTCATGAAAAGCAAAATTTCCCATAAGATTTTCTAGCTTCTGTTTGAGCAGATACGTCTAGCTAATATTTTAGAAAAGAGTAGTATTCACGCGAATTCATGAATTTCAACTTAATTCTGACATTCCTATACTTGAAAATGACATTGTTAGTAGTCCTTCCTTTGTTCGGATTCTCATAGGGCATTACGATGAAGTGGCTGTAGATAAGCAAAAATTCCTCCACAGATTACTGACTTTTTTATAATTTGAACCAGAATGAATAATTGGGGTAAGAGCGAAACCGTTAGGTAGATCTCATTCTCTGAGTTTAGGCAGTAACAACAGTAAGTCTTTTTACTGGCAAGTCTTCTGGTCTACAGCATGTCAACTTTAACGTTCCTTGAATCAATGAAAAAGAATAATAATCAATTATCGACGCTGAATAATTCTTGCACTCTCCTAGAAGGAGAATGCAGTTATCTGAGCAAAGGTTGAAGGTCGGCACATAAATAGATGAGAATTTACACGAATCGTTGAGCTTCTCACGTACATCAAAACGAAGTGACAATGAAAAACACCAAACACCCCAATTGATAAAATCTGTCGAATGAAACAAAATAAAAGCCAATCAGGAAGGGACCACGAACGATTAATTCTGATCCTCCGCTTACATTCCATCCAGTTTGACATTAGAACTCTTACTAAGGCTTCCGCTGCTATTCCTATTTCAAAAGGCAACCAATTTCTGGTGGACTGAGGGAACGCCATATTCGATCACAAGGTTAAAACGTATACTGAGAGTTATAATATAATATACGCTGCCTCTATGAAAACTAGCAAAATCCTTAAGCAACTAATTTGAGGAGCGCAGACCATTATCGGGCTTATTCTAACCTAAATGGCTAATTCAACTATCTATTAACAAAGCTAAAATAATGTTCATAGTGTTTGCGAAAGAGCCCCATCCAAGCCAATTTAGAGGAACGGTTACGTGCAGGCACGTGTAAGGAATGGAAAGTTCCAACTCAACTGTCAGAGGAGACTATTCAGAGGCACTTTGAAATTATGTTTGAAAACGTAAGTTGAAATTAGGAATTGAAAAAGTTTCGTAGAGGTGATAATGACTGGTACAGAACATCGCTATTCTGGGAACCGTGCGCTTGCAAGGGGCACTCGGTTGTGAAGGGGAGGGGGAAGAAGGGAGAGGAGAAAGGAGCGCTTTGAGCTTAAGCCCAATAAACAATCTGTCAGCTTTCTTCTCTCACCCAGTAAAAAAATCTTTACTGTTCACAAATTACATTAACTATAGATACGCATTTTTTCACGGAAAGCAAAGTTCTAACCTCGTGATCGACCATGAATGAGAGTTGAGGGTTGTCAATCGATGGCGGCCGCATCGGAGTCGAGCGGATTTAGCTTTTTAAGATTAGACATCCTACAAAAAATCACAAGTATTGACAACGACTCCACACCAGAAAGACGTCCTACAAAACCCACCAGGAATCAGTACTGTAGATTCTTAGAATCCGTAACGAATTGATGAAACTCTTCACGGTATTTGGATAGCAAATTATGCATATATATTTTACATTGTGCGTACAATGGTTCTGCAAAATATTCTACTCGATGTGTCGGTTTGTGTGGATTTACATGTACAACGTCTGATGGTAAACTGCGAAGAGGCTGATTGAAGCTGTCCTCATCTAAAATTGAAATCTTATGAGTTAGCAAAACTTTTCAACAAATTTCTAAAGTGTCACATAAAGTTACTTACCAAGGTAAAGATGATCTCCTGGCAGTACACTGGCAATAAGTGGAGAGCTTTGAATAGTAATATTCTGAGGGCACATCACATGTACCCTGTTGCTATAGTTCTGGAGTTCTTGACCGGACGTCTAACAATAGAGAAGTTGAACAAATCACTAAGGTTCATTGGGCATTGATAAACAAAGTAAATAAGACGTAAACAGATATTTGAACACCTGAGAAAGCCGTGTTAACTCGTAGACTTGAGGTGGCGGCAAAATGACTTCTCCCTTGGAAGCCTTTTTTAAACAGTCTTTGGGTGCCATCCAAAAGTAATGAGACATTTCACGTTCGCACATACGAACTTCTGGTTCACCTAAAAGTCTCCATTTCAGTTTTGGAAAAGAACTCTAGTTCATTTGCAATGGAGTAAAAAGTGGTTACCGTCTAATTGAGCTATGAAGAACGATGTCATGTACCGTCTTTTGTATGATGAAGGAGTCAGCCACGTATTCCATTCAAGCAAATCCTTGACTGGAGGCGATGGACAGGCCTATAGTAGGAAACAACACTGTATTACAAATAATAAGAAGCGCATTATTGAAACTTTGAAGCCAACTAAATGAATGTATATGATGGCAAATATCAAAAAGTGAGAGATTCAATGATTGAGCCCCTGCCGATACTCCGAAATAAATAATTGTGTACAAAACTTCACAATAACTTCCACTCTTACCAGCTTAAACTGTTCCGGATCCTTCCTCGTATTTTCTTGTAAGGCTTCGAGTTCCCGGGAATTGGCAGCAGATTCTTCTTGACCAAGAAGTAGACCGGTCTCTTCGAAAAGTTCCTGAAAGTCAGCTCTGTACACTAAGTTGATGACAATTTTCGGAGGGTATTAAAAGGACATTTATAAACAAGTAATGTCCTTAAGATGTAAAGGTTCAGTTTATTGCCGGGGGTAAACTGTGGCAGACAACGACCATTTCTGTTTGAGAACTAAACGCTAGAAGGATCTCAGTTAGTACGCAGTACATACCCAGCTTTCTAGAATTTTCGTCCCAAACAGCGACCACTCGCACCCGGGAGGCGACGCTGTATAGACCGGGTAAGGCTGAACACGGAAGAGAAATAAGCAACACTTTTATTTATGATCATGACGCATTGCCACATTATTGCATTCGCCAAGATTGGGCGACATCCCCTTCCTCATCCTTCCTGAACATATCGCTGGAGGCTACATTGGTGCAAACTCACGACACCAGAGGCCACGTACCATGGTTTTTTTACAGATGTGGCTAAAGTTCTGCTTTAATAGAGCACTGATCGGGTCAATCTTGCGGCATACGAATAAATCGCAAGAATCGATTGGAAAGTTTTTTTTAGTATCGAGAGGAGAAGAAGTAAATTTCTATGCAAAGTAAAAGTGCACAAATTGTACACAGTGATACAACTACATCTGTGAGTTGACCTTTTTTTAGTGCTCCTCTGTGTACTCACCCTCATGGCAGCAATTTTTGCCGGATGTCCAAGTTTTTCATCGGAAGGAGTTACTACGCCACCAGGGAACACCAATGCATTCGGCATGAACTTTGCTGTGGCCCCACGCTGCATCACTAACACTCGACCGGTGGTGCGACTCACTTAAATCAATATCCATTATATGCATCACGATAGTATTATATGAATCCCTACTCGAAAAAAAGAAAACAAAAGAAGTTTACAAAGTGTATGAAAGGATTGCAAAGCAAAGATTAGAAGGATTAAGGTCAATAAATGTTTGCTGAAGTAATTTTAAAAAAGCATTCAACTAATTAAGTTGTTTTTTTCGAGACTAAATGGGTTCCAACAAGATTACAACAACTCTGAAAAAGGCTTGAATGAGCACCACAGCTCGAATAAGCTCAACTTTTGGTAATGGGACATGGCAAACTATTAAAAAAGGTCTACAGATAGAAGTTTTGTTCTCAAAAGCTTGGCGAGTTATGGACAAAACTTCGGCCTCTAACGGACTCGAACCCGTGCTTGTGCAATCTGGGCACAAGCTTCATTCAAAGGCTCAGAAGCTTCCTTTATTTGTGGAACTATTTAGAGATCCATTCATTATTTCTTAAGACAGAAATTGAAGAATATAAGTGGTTCTACTTTTACAATACCTAGTAGCTAGTAGTTGGCAAAGTAGCTTTTTCAATACGTTTACTAGAAAATAAGCATTAAAAGAACTTACCAACGATGACAGATGAAGCGGTTTTCCATGCTACCATGCTTCAGGATAGTTGTTGTGCCTGTAAATAATTTCAATTGGATTGAGGATTTATTCTGATAACCTAAGGTAACAGGCGGCAGGCACTTTTACAACTGAGTAAAAGTGAAAAAGGACAAGCGAGGCAGGAATAAGAAGCAAAAGCATCACTTGGCTACAACAGACGAAGTACCCCATCCCTTAGAGAGTTAGGGAATATCACATTTTGCCTGGTTATCCATGACAGTAAAGAAAAAAGCTGGCTCACTCATAACTCCAACAAGTCAGTTTAGGAAAAGCACAAGGGGACACAGAATATGATGTGGTACACCATATCCTGGGCCACAACTTTGTAAACATTTTGTGTTACTGAAAACCCATACAATATGAACGGCTGACCGTGGCCAAGATGACAATACATACCAGAAGCTTGGAGGTCAAAAAAAAAAAGAAGTGAATGGAATGAAGAAAATGAAATGGGAGAGCAGAAATTGATAGGATAGGATATATACGGAGGCTACAGGAGGATATATCAGGACTACACCTGAATGACTGCGTAAATTTTCGGTGATCCTTCCGGTGCTAGTGTTATGCTAGTACTGCTGAACGGAACTTTATCATGCAGCTGACTATTACACAAGTCAGAAGAAACCGCTAAAAGGTAGGGAGTAGGGATTACTCAACAGGAGCATCCCCAGGACTGGAACAGACTTTTGCTCTTTCTAGAAAATTCCTAAGATAGTGGTGAAACGCCCCCAAAGTTGGCACAGTACCAGTTATGAGGATATGTTCACTTTTTCGGTGTAAGAAAGAGCCTCTTGGGCAGAGCTGGAGAACCCGAAACCGTTCCCATTACAGATTAATATGTGATAACAAACTTCTACCTACATTTAGAGGCATCGCTCCAACCAAAAATAGTAATGTACCTTTTTGACCATATACACTCAATTATAAATAAATTGCACGTGATGAGGCCACTTATGCAAAAGAGGCAGAGGGGTCCCATTAGTAAATTTGGAGGAATTTTGACTTTACTTCACATATTGCTCAACAAACAGCCCATAGCCAGGCGGGGGGACGTACAAGAGCATGTGTAGGGGACGGCCACGTAGAGAAACAAAACGGATACAGACGTAGCCGTCCCCAACAACGACACACTCGACCCTGATAAGTGTGCAAGTGCGTCATCCTACCCCCACAATTCAGGCGTCAATTAATGTGCCTACATGAAGAGTGCACAAATAATTTTGCCTCACGTACAGTAGCTCTTACCGCCCGTGCACGACATCCTAAGCTTTCTCTGGATAAAACCCCACAAAGCACTGTGGGGCTTAGGATCAGCTGCGAAATGACAAGTTCTGAGCCAAGACCTGCACCGGGTATGAAGAAAAGGATGAGGGTCTCCATGTACTTGTGCAGTATTAATAGCTTACAATAGATGAATAGCAACGGCAAGAGGCAATCAACGTGCCGTCTTCAAAAGGCTGAGGACACGGACAGGGAAGAACACCACGAGGGCTAGATCCCTCTTTTGCCGTGGGTCAGATTAGTGACAGCGGAGCAGAAAGTCGGTAGAATACTTCGTAGGAAGATTTAGCAGACTTCAGTGATCTTAACTTAGCCTCCACAACTCTTTCTTATTGGAGGTATAACCCTAGTCAGGAGGACGTGCTCTAATGATAATAGTAAGGCCCTCGGCTATAATCCTATTGGATCCGGCTCCCTAATTATAGTTTAAGCCCCAGCCTGGCAGAAGCCATTACCTTTGGTGTATATCGATTAGCCACCGCAAGTCGTTGTATGGATCACATACGCATTCAATACTATACTACGATTTTGAATGGAAGTCGAATGTGTGGGTGCATCCCTCAGAGAGGATTGTTTAATGTCCCAAAACTTTATCCTTTATCCTTTATCGTTGCTAGCCGACACATGGCATCGGAAAGGACCACTTATTGAAATTATCCTCTTGAAGAAATCCTATCTTTCCCGCTCAGGGTGTTCAGTACGCGGGAGAGCGATCGTCGTTGCCGCGCCGCATGAGCCACACGGGCGGAAATCGATGGCTAGCGAGCTGCCCCGTGCTGTCAACTATGAACGTGCTTGGTGCACTTTGTTCGACCGTCCAACTTTGGTGTTTTGTCTATAACTTCTTGGAGAGAGCTTGCGCTTTCCTTCGCATGTTCATTCAAAAGAGCGTGCAGAATTACGTATGTATGATCTTGACGGAACCTGGAATTCTACACAGAAAAAATGGGAAAATCTCGTTAAGTCTCAGTTTCGAATGAATAGGAGCGAAAATCCTGAAAAGGAGGACGAAAATCCGTCATTACACTGACTTTACGTGGAATAAAATGCAATAGTTGCAAAACTTCACGGTCAACAAATCTACGACGCAACATGATTGATTACAACATCTAATCGTGTCACATATACGACGGGTCAAAATGGTTTCGACCCGCAGCAGTACTTCCAACAACCGAAATCATCCACTGGAGGCTTCTCGTGAAATCCCGAAATCCCATTGTACACTGTTCGCTCCAACGGCGAACGTTCGGGGGATGGAACTTACGTGCGACCGAGGATGCGCGCGGCGAGGTGCGTGGTGATTCGAACGACTCTGGCGCCTATCTTTGGGGCCCAAAGTCGGAGTAGAGCAGATTAGTAGTATCAGCTGACCCTACTAACCTGCTGTATTTCAAATTGAACCTCAATGGTAGGCGTCAGAGCCGTTCGAATCACCACGCACTTCGCCGCGCAGTTTGCCGCGCGCATCCTCGGACGCACGTATGTACCCGTACCCCGAACGTCCTACCGTTCGGGTATAAGGTACTACACACGGTTGGGCAGACTTCACCCATGCAGGTTCTCGTGCCAGGACAAACAAAAGGGTTACTGAAAGAACTAATAGTACTAGTACTAGTAAGAACTTTGCACAGTAAAGTCTTGTTTTTAGGTTGACCGAATCTTACCTATTACTTATTTGGAAGCTAGTTGGTCGATCTAGGCAACAAAAATATGGGGTTCTTGAAACAACAACAATTATTCTACAAAATTACCCCATTCGAAGCAATATGAATAGTACCAAGTACTATTAGGAATACCTCTGGGATCGTACGTAAAATTAAAAACAAGAATATTAAAATATTTAATGTGCACCATTTCTAATATTAATACACCGATCAAAAAACTATTTAAGTAGTCAATAGCCAGGAAATAACAGTTAGCACAATCCAGACGCAGAGATTATTATGATATAAGTTTATATTAAGTAGGGTACGTAAGCAATGGGAATGTACATTATAAGTAGCTCATTAGTAGTACCCAAAAACTTAATAATTTAACGGCAGAAAAACGAATAGGATACAAATTAACAATCACAGAAGTTTTGGAAAAAACAAATCGCTCCTTCAACAACAATTATGCTATAGATTAGACATAATGGATCTATAATACACATTCGAAAGAAAAGAAAATGAACTAGCGGTACTTCGAAAGAAAACGGACGAGTTTTAGAACTAAGAAGGAACGATATGGAACCGATGACGGCTTTCCTGAAGGATGAACTCTAGGACGTCTATCTCAGTTCGACCTCCAAGGTGACAATGCAAAACATCCGGAAGTTGAGGAGTTAGTATTACTAAGTATAATGTGGAAGGGCACTTTTGGCTTCTACGAAGCTCGTAATATCAATTAAATAGTGTACTAAGAAAAGGTATGTTCCCTCACGGTGAACCGGATTCTAAATAATTTCGGGTCTCCTATCCGAACGGTAGGCGGAGATTGGGCGGTGGGCGGAGCTCGTGACCTCGAACTTCGTAACTGCTTTATTACGAAACGATATCTAGCTTTTTTTTTGTTTTTTGAGCGATTTGAAATTTTCTGTTCTATAAGAGTTCGCCCTGGTCCGAGAAAATCTTCTAGTTTTGGGAGAATTTTTGTATCTAAGGCGGTCCTCAACCAGAAGCATCAAATAGCCGATCAATATTTGATTCTAATGATTCTCTTGTATACTTCAGTTGCCGAGTGACAAATTGTTCTCCACATATTTCTACCCTTTGCATCAGTGGCCTGTATAGGGACATGATGGCGTTCTTTACATGATCACAAACGATAGCTCGAAGCTTCAAATCGGCTATGCAGTAATCCCGTTGCTGAGAAACAGTCGCGTCGAACTCTCGTGTGAAATTCTGAAAGACTTCATACTTGGGTAGGCAATGAATGACGAAGATGATGCAGTCTTGAAGGCACAGTTCATGATAGTTTTGGGGTACCTATTTTAGAAGAGTAATGGAAGTGATAATCCAGAAAAATGGAAGGTGTAAAAGTGGCGGAGGACACGTGAAAAACGACGTCTTAAGAAAGAAAAAGACTTCAAATTTTTGGCATATTTGACAATTTTGTGCATTTTTAGAGTTTGGCAGGGAAGACAGCCAAAAATCATGTGCAACTTACCGCAATCATGTTCTTCATCATGTTTTTGTCATCCATGACTCGCTGAACTCCTTGAAGAGTTGTTATGCACGGATTCCAGCTGAAATAATCAAAATTCATTTCAACGAAAGGATCTAGGATAACACTAAGAAAGGTTTCAGTAATAAAAAGAAGGTGCACCAGTGTTATGGAGGTGGAAGGCCATTCTAGGGGAACGGAACATTCACCGAGAACTGGATGGACGCGGCAAACCGCGCGGCGGAATTCGTTGTGATTAGGACGACTCAGGCGCCTATCATTGGGGCACAAATTTGAAGTGGGATAGATAAGTAGCATCACCTGACCCTATTTCTCCAATCTACTTGAAACCCGTGCGGTGGTGAAGTCCGTTCCCCCAAGAGGTGCCACTGGAAACTGCCCACTCTGTGGGCTGAGCTGACCACGGACATTCGAATGCAGGCGACAGGCCCCAATAAGAAGAAGAAGACTTGAAACCCGTGCCCCGTGAAATGATAGGCGCCAAAACCGTTTTAATCACCACGAATTTCGTCGCGCGGTTTGCCGCGTCCATCCAGTATTGAGTGAATGTACCCATACCCGTTATTCTAGTGCAATAGTTCGTGCGGCATACGGTAGTTGAAATTGGGCCAGGGTATCGATTTACTCAATATGGCGGTACCAGAATTTGGTACACTTCCTGTCCCCTCCCCCCTTCTCCCTTCCTCTCGCTACTGCGGCCATGCCGCTGAATCAGAGTCGTCCAGCTGGGTGCTCCGTTAAATGCCCCAGTTTTCCTTCTCCTCACAAGAAGATGCTTAAACAGAAATCTTAAGTGGGTCTGGGGTTCTAATCATATTGTTAGCTACAAAATGAAAATTATTTCTGGTTTAAATCGATAGTGTTCAGATTGAACTTTGTATTTACATGAGGGAAGGTCGAGTTGACGAAAACTCGAGTAAGGAAATCAGTGGTAATGTAGTAATGAGTAGCACTATACCTGCGCATGTACTGATTGACGCACTGTTCAATTTCTGAGTGGTAAAACGACAAAATCTGCGTATTCTGCTCGTTTATTACCGGCAACAGCCCATCCTCGTCATCCTCCAAGGCCTAAGGAGATTTCTATAGATTTGCGAAGATTTCTCAGAGAAAAAATCAAATCATACCTTTGCTATGTAGTTATAGTTGTTCAGAAGAAACAGACTCGACAGAGCGGGATCGTCGTAGCTTTCACTTTTCTTTTTCAATGTCATTCCTAGAGCCGATAGAATTCTTGCTGAAATGAAAGAAAAATTGGAATTACTTAGTTACTGACGAACCCAATAACAGTAACTGTAAAACATAGGTGCTAGTAACACAATATCCTAGCGAGAACATCCGGGTGTGGTGCAGTAGGATCGAGATTGTCGCGTCGCGGCGAGAGGGATGCCGCGCGTGAAGGAATGTAGCAGCATGCAGCAGCAGGTAAGAAAAACAGGAATGAAAGAGCTAATACATAGTAGAATCATGCCTAAGATAATGATCGCATATAAATTGAGCTCTATGGAGAAAGCTAGAGCAGCAATAACAGTGAGCGAATTTTTCGCGTCAGCCGCGTGCGGCGTATCGATTACGCAAAACCGATCCTACCGCCCGCCTCCCAAGAATATCCCTATCGCGGTCTTCAACGAAGCCCGGAAGTCAACGTAACACAAACTCAAATATAAGGGAAAAATTTAGAGTACCGAAAAGTTTCGGCAGTAGAAGGGCTGAATTTGTTCCCTGAGGAGCTGTCATAAGAAGCAGCTGCTGAGTTACAGTATGCCGATGAACTGTCAGTGTTGCAAGGAAATTGATTGTCTGGAAACTTGTAAACCTTACAGCAATCAAAAAAGGGGAAGAAATCGAATTGGAAAAAATTTGGGAAACAGCCTACTCACAGTGACAGTAATTGGATGGACGTTACCATCCACAGGCAGTTTGCTATTGTCGTTCTTTAGCTTCTCAACAAATTCATTAATGTACGATGAGGATTTTACTCGGAGCAGTCGCATCAGGGCTTCGAAGGGAACATCGGCCATGCTGTTCTGAAAATAAAACTTCATGAAGTTTTTGACACTCTATTTTAACTCGAAGAAAATCCCGACCAACCGTTGCTAGGTTCTGAAGGCGAGTTTGATGAGCGGAGAGAAATCTGAGAAGAGGAAGAAGAGGAAGAACTCCTTTGTCGCTATCTTGGACCACTCGTTGGATGTGTCGCACGACGAAACTGAGCGGATTGGCGACTAGTTCACGAAAGACCTGCATAAAGTTTATTGCATTACTACGACAATCAGTATTAAATGGCAAATTCATGCGTTCATACTTTGCGCACAGCTGCGAACGAGCGAATTGGCAGCAAGCGCGCACCGCGGCGTGAAAGTTATGATCAATGAACATCTGAGCTTTTTCTTGTATCGACGAATCTGTTGCGCCATGCAAACAGACAAGTAATGGATATTTATCCAATACATTTCATGGATTTTACATTTTTTTGACTATGTACAGACTAAAATGAGGCTAGAAACGACCTCACCTGAGCACGTCGTGTAGTGTCAGGTATCGTCTTCACCATTATCGCCTCTTCAACCTCCAATAGTGCGAGAAGACATCCAGCCATCAGCAATGCTCCTTCCGACTCACCTCCATCCACGTCACCAAAACGGCGATCTGCACGACCAGCTGCCTTCTTGAGTACACTGGAACTAGCAATTACTTTAAAACTTTTAAAAAATCTCATGATTTTCTACATTGTTCCACAAGGCACGGCACATACCTTTTGATGGCACCAGAACGTGAAGGCATATGGGAATACAAAGCAGCATGATGTTGTGTTACTGCACTGATCGTACGCATCATATTATCTCCCCTGAATAAAAGTACTGTTTAACCTTAAGCTCTTGATTCCTATCTGTCTACTGAGTAGCGCTTGCTCCTCGTACTTGCGCTCTCACGAACTTTAGCAGAACGGTGCTCTCATTTTAGGCTTTTTTTAGACGTGCCGAAACATCTTAAGAGAAGCTTGAAAATTTTTTTTACGAAAAAAGCCTATAAAAAGTAAAAAACATCGAGCAGAGCCACTTCGGAGTAATAGTCGTTTGTAAGTTACTCTTTTTTCAGTTACATGTTGGCCTCCTCTTTCTGGCCTTCCTGCAAAACCCACCTAATCTTCGCGTAATGGGTGAGAAATCGCGTCCGTTCTCGTTCAAGAAGCCAAACGCCAAGACGAGTCAACGCGGTCAAATCGCGAACGGTCTTGATGTCTTTGGCTCGTGACCCCATAAGTTCTGGAAAAAATAATGATTATCAACAGCGAACATACAAGGAGAGGAGAAAGTATGGATTGTTCCACTAAAAAGAGGAGATAAGAGCAAAAGCTCTCTTTGTTGCAATTCTTGAATAGGTTGAAGAGAACCCTTATCACAGCAAGTGCTCTTGAGATGGAAAACGATATAATAAAAGCTCTAATTTGGGAGATATCCCCTCTCGAGGGTCCTCATTCATCGAAATTCTCTAGAATTGCAGGGAGCTTGAACGCATATCAGCCTCTACCGTACCATCACCAAAGATTGGAACATGACGTGACAGTGGCACCATCTACGGGCGGTGACAGTGGCACCACCTACGGGCGGTGCCACTGTCACGTCAGTGTTCCTATCTTTCTAAACCATTGGGTTACCAAATGTAAGATCCTGTAGAACGAGATTTGTCCTCTAGATCGGTAGGAAGCCATTTCAGTTTTTCTCCTTTCGATTTTAGAGGATAAAGGATATAGTTTTCGGGGTTCATCAATGCCGTCCGCGGATGCACCCTCGCATTCGTGTTCCATTCAGAATCGTAGTTGCATATTGAATACGTGTGTGACCTATGCAATGAATTGCGTAGGCGGGCATCGAACCGGGATTCGAACTCGTGGCCGTGCGTGAGAGATAGTATGTCATTGCCACTACACCACTTTCATCCTCCTTTTGCGATAATTTTCGAAAATCGACGGACCAGTAGCAGTTCATGAACAAAGATATACTAGACTGAGTCAGGAAAAATGACTAACCGTATTGTTCATCAAGGCTCTCAATCAGTACCATAGGATCGGCTTGAATGGTGTTTTTCTGTACAACTGAACGGTATTCCGTTTCCAGTACCGAGAAGCCAGTCTCCAGGGTTAACTTCTGAAGCGAACATGTGTCAAGGAGGGTCTAGACAGGAAAAAACTGTAGCGAAACCTTGATGAAAAATGAGCTGACCATGTTTTCAGTCTGATTCTGATAATTAGGATGAGATTCGAAGAATTGAATAGCCTGTTGGAGACATTCCATATTTTCCAAGTACGTTTCCAGATCATGGCCAGGATTCCCATCCCTGTAAAACAACTTTTTCATGTGAGTTGTCAAAAAAGCAAAATCTACAGAACGAAAACAGTATCTTCATTTTTTACATGACATTATCGAGAGAAAAAAAATAAATTGAAAGTGAAAGAACTTACCTTATTGAACTCTCCAGCTCACTTGTGCGGCCATAGAACTGTATTGTTGTATCGATTGTTTTGATTAACCGTTGGATATCTGGAAATGGGAAAAAATGGGTTTCTTTCAGGCAAAGGATGAGGAAGAAAATGTAAGAAAAATGCTCGCTTAATAAATAAGAGTCTCCAACAATAAATAGAAGTGCTGGAAGAATGATTTGGCCGAATAAATGACTGGACGACTAACTTTTCTGTTTAACCTGTAGCCTTCCATTGACCTCGTGCATTGGTAGAACATTTTCTTGAAGTGAAACAAGTCTTGCTTGAAATCGATCCGTAATCGCCTCGATAGATTCCCGAAGTTGTTTACTTTTAGCTGTGCTGGCTTTGAAATTCTTCAGCCATTCTTCTTCCTGTAAGTATTCAACTTAGAGAAGTCGTGGATCAACCTATTTATATGAAAAGATATACAAAACTGATGAAACGCAATGGATAAGGGGGCAAGTTAGATATATTATGGACATATGGAAATCCGAGCTAAGCAAGCTTTCTACCACTCTGGAATCGGCCATTTCATCCAAACTTTTATGAATGCGTAGAAGTAGCGGTCTAAACAGCGGCTGTCGCAATTTCCCTTCCCAGGTACCACTGTGAACAAATATTTCTTGGCGTTACGTTTGGGTCGCGCAGTCCTACAATCTGTCAAGGGAAAATTTGCCTCCATTTTTCACATGATCCTTATGTTCTTAGGCGTTCTATGGCAAGGAAATCTTAGGTCTAGAAGATAGCTCATACACGGAAATTATACATTCCAGGACTGATGTGCTTTGGTTTTAGATGGAACACTGTTTAAACTGAACATTCTCTTTCCCCATCCTCTCTCTCACATTTTGTCCACCCCCCTCTTCCCACTAGAGAGCTTTTTGACAGGGATTTCAAGCTTCTTCCGTCATCTTGATCGTGTCCACATCTAAGTATGGAAACTCTCACATAGAGGCTTTTGATTTGGTGGAGGCGAGCAGTGGAAAACGGACTATGCAGTTTGCAATATTAGGCATAATGGTATATAAATCCAGCATGACTAATATGAACCCGTTTCGGAGTTCCCTTTCCTTTTTCCTCTGATGATACATTATAGTTCCCCTATGCACGCTTGGGCCTAATTCAGCTCAGTATTCATCAGGCTTCCAACAGTTGGAGGTGGAATCGATGTTTGTGAAGTGGACTCCCGTACGTTGCACGGAATAGCAAACCACTTATTACTACCCTTTCTTTCTCCTTATACTCTGAAAAGAATATTACCGCTTTAAAGCTAATAATGGCGATTCAAAAAGTCATATTGACATAACAAATAAAAGACCTGCATGAGTTTCTTGTGAATAGCATCAGGGACCTCGGAACTCATGTCGACGCTTCGATCTGGGCCTGCTGTAAGCACGACCAGAAGATGCGAGCTCCTTAAACAAGAGTTACATGAAGTGATCCTTTCCAGTGGTAGCAAGAATCGATCACGATTGGAACGAACGTAAGCACTGCGATGAAATAATTATTATAGTAATATGATCAATTCTGAATGAGTTTTCCAGATTTCAGAATTCTTCTTTAACTGATGAGCTTCCTGTATTTAAAGCCTTTTTGATTTTCAAAATGCTGCAGCTGCATACAATCAGTTACAATATGTATTATAAAAACATAATTAAAATAGAACAGAAATACGAGGTAAAGGGCTTGACAGTAGGAAATTGAAGAACGGAACATCGATCTAGCTGAGGCAACGTGCTGTTATCAAGCAACCAGTCTCAAGAGGTCACGCATCTCCTCTTTTACTGCGATTTCTGGTTCAGTATGATGCACTTTTTGTAAATTAAGTTACCCACAAACAGTTCCATTCCCTCCTACTTTTGATCAATTTTGATAAGATTTGCTTATTATATTGTAACTGACCATAAGCAATTATTGTGATTTTGAAGGCGGAAGAAGACAACAAACGCAGAAAGCTCTCTAGTAAATATAAAATTCAAGAGAATCAAAAACCACTCGTTTGACAGTAATTGATGAGCCATAAACATATAATTGCTCATGAAAAGTATCTCAAAGTCGTCTCTTGATACAACCTACTTTCAAATCGTCAAACAAGTATACTAAAATAAAAGTCCAAAAACGATCAATCCGAGTCTGAATCAAAAAAAAAAACCGAAAAAAATGTTGTACAAGTAGCTCGAACAGTTGTGATTATCCCTTCAGATCAAAACCTACTTCAGTTCATTGCAAGAAGTCCATTCCGATTGGAATAGTACTCTGCCAATACACAAAAAAGTAAAAGATCAAAGACGAAAATATATGGAAGATGAACAATGCCCACCCAATATCGCTCATGCCTACATTTACACAGCTGTTTCCGAAGTATTCGGCCAAAAAAATGTGGTCAAGTGATGTTGAAAAGTCCAAAGTCTGTTAGGGACCAATTTCATCAAACCCAAATCATTCCTACCACCGCTAGAATGTTGCAAGCTGTATTTCCCTCGAAGGGGCGTTGGAAATTCACCGGATGGACGGAAGGTATCGTAGATGGAAAAGATAAAATTTTAGACTGAAAACCCGTATCGAACCTAACGATAAAAAGTGGGAGAGGTTGAAAACCATCCCAGCCCAGCCACTTGTGGGATCTAGTGTTTGAATCATAAAACCATCAAAAGGTTACGACTAGTAGATTTGAACTTTAAAATTCAATCACTAAGAAATAAAATTTGTGTAATCAGGCACTTTAACCGCACCAAATGACCTGCTCGTCTGCAGAAATGAATCCCTTCAGGATGTCATCGTGATACTGTATTAACGGTAAAATGGAAATAGACAGAAGACCCAGTACTCGAATGAAATTTACGGGAGACGGGCGTTAGGAACGATTTTGGGTAATCGATTCGCCGCACGCGGCTGTCGCGGACCACTCATTTGCCGTTATTACAGCTCCAGCGTTCTTCATACAGCTCAATCCATATGCGATCATTATTTTATGCATAATTCTACTATTAGTAGTTTTGCCCTTGAATTTCTTACCTACCGCTGCATCCTGCTACATTCCTTCGCGCGCGACGCCCCTCTCGCCGCGACGTGACCATTTCGTTCCTAACGNTACATTCCTTCGCGCGTGACGCCCCTCTCGCCGCGACGTGACCATTTCGTTCCTAACGCACCACACCCGAAATTTACGACTGTTGGAGTAGTCAGGGCAATCGTTGTAATCAGACCAGATACATGAGAGGCATGGGTGAAAGCGACTGAATAGATGCAAGAAAAGAAGAAAAAAGGGTGAAAAACAAAAAAATGGAAGTATTAGACGACTTCTGCGATAGACAGAGGTGAAACACGTGGCCACCAACATTCTAACAGTTCGAAGATGTCGGAATGAGGAGCTATAAGTTTAGAGAGACTTATTGTTTGCAATTGACTATTAGTCATCAATAACAATAGGATTATCAAGCGGTAAAGAAGTCCCAGGTCAGGTGAGCTGAACACGTTATGCAAATTTATGATGGCCGTCGGATCAGGGTGGCTATCGACCGACACTGGACGTCGAAAGGTCCAGGAAGCTCCTGGTCCCACGATCGACTTCTTTATGGAAGCTCTGAGCGACGAGAATGACTCGCTTACTGTCCTTTCGGCGAGAAGGATCAACTGGATAGGTACGACGGAACCATTCAGCAGTCACTCGAGGAAGCTGATGATCAATGGGATAGCATGCGGTACAACTGAGATTTGCCACTAATTAAAAGAAGAAAAAAAGTGAAAGGAAAAAAAAATATTTGAGCGAAAACTGGGCACGAACTCTGCATCCCGA